TCAAATGGTGCATAAATTCTAGCAGCAGGCTGACAGCAGCAGACACACAGTGTGCCCTTGTTTGTGGCAGAGGAGCAAGGCAAGAAACAGTGAGCGAACTGTGCACAGATCCTCTCAATCCCCAGTGGGAGTGTTGTTTATAGAACATTATAATTTATAACTGAAGAGAGTGGATTTAATTTCACTGGAGAGGCTCGCCAGCAGGGCGCCAGCCTGCAATCATATGAATCAGCAAGCTGCAAACTCCATTGAATGGAAAGTATTATCACCGGCCACAAACGGACAGTGTTTCTGCTTCTACAGCTCCCAGGGAGCGGGGAGACCTTGTCTCTTTAGACATTGATTTTATTTATTGTCTCCCGTTATCTGTCTTTCTATCAGACCCCTCAACTTCCCTTCTTTACCACTCCTGTCTCCCTCTCCCTCTTTCTATCCTTTTCTTCCTCTCTCGGGTCAGTTCGGAAAGCTCAGCCTTAATAATATTAATAATAATAATCCTTGCATTTGATACAGCGCCTCATCACGTCTTCGAGGCGTCTCAAAGCGCTTCACAGAATATACTGTGAAGGGAATGACTATGTTTTGCGGGCAAAACGTATTGAAAGATTTGCAGAGAGCATGACAGACATTGAAATCCTTGAGTCGTTTTTCCATCAAGTCATTGGCATTGGATTGAATCTTGTAGATGATCAATGACCCAATTATTATGCTCAAACGTGACTTTTGTGTATCGCATTGAAGCATCTCAATGCTAAAATTTTGTGAAGACTTTAACCTCAGGTCCCAGGATTGCTAAGAGCTGAGCTGAGCCTCATGTCACTGCCGACATCCCCTGATTACTCAAAGGCCAATTTAAGACCTTGTTGTAGGTCATTAAGGAAGAAGCTTCACACAGCTGAGAAGGCAGATCATCGTAGAGTGTGTGTGTGGTCAGACCTGTCTTTACTTCAGCACGCGATGGCATCCAACACATGAGAAGCATCGTTTGACATAGGAAGCATCACTATAGGTGAGAGAAGTGAAAGGAACATGGGTCCAGTGTATATATTGCACTTAAGGAGACACAGGAGCACAGAGGCTCTATTCTGTCGTGGGTCAATTCCAATAGTCTGCTGCCTAGGTTCCTAATGGTACTTCCTTGGACCATCTAGGCAGGGAACAGCTTCGGAGTTAGCTGCAGTGACAGATTCTGCTGCTTTTAGGAGAGGGGGGGGGAAGAGGAAAGTCCAGGCACGTCTCCTGGGGTGGGAGGGGGGGAATCACAGTGAGATTGTCACCCAGCCTTGTCTCGGGCATTTCCTGCAGGTGGAGGAGGGGTCTGTCTGGGCTGCTGCTTTTTAAGAGAAGGGAAAGTGATCAATATCTCAGTCAAAATAAGCTGCAACAAAACAACACAATTATCATCAGCAAACAGTGTAAATATCCTGGAAGCACTGCCATCTTGGGGGAGTTCACCGTTGAAGATCTTACAGTATGATTTACGTTTGCACAGCATCAGGAGACTGTCTCGAAGTGCCTTACAGGATACTTTATAATAATAATAACAATAATCCTTGCATTTGATAGAGCGCCTTATCACATCTTAGAGACGTCACAAAGCGCTTCACGGAATGCAGTATCCTGTAAAGTGAATTGACTGGATATTTTGTGGGCGAAACGCGGCAGCCAATCGCGCACGGCAGCGTCCCACAAAACAGTCGTGGACTGAAGTGACCAATTTATTATTATTTTTTGTAGGAATTTTTATGTGATGTTAAAGTGAGAGTTGAGGTTCCTCAGGGCTTGTGATCCTCGGCGTCAACTTGGGGCTTTCCTCTCGAGTCCCATCTCTGCCCTTGTAATCTCTGGGATGATCTTTCTTGCTTGGGTTACGCTGGAGGAAGTTCCCTCTGGTTCTTTATGGCCCTGGTATTTTATCTTCCCTTTTTTTTTCCAACGGCAATTTTCTACAAATAAATCCTGGTTTGTGTGACACCGGGCAATTTGGCTGTTTCTTCATGTGAGTACTTCAGCATAAATGAAGGGAAGGCATTCATCAGTCTGCCAGCTAGACTGCTATTAGTCATTTTTTACACAACCAAGACTAAAGATTCTATAGATTAAATCACTAACAAAAGACACAGGGCTGTAGTTTTTTTGTTCACTTGGTGATGAAGTTGTTAATAGAATGTGGAAAGTGCCGTCGCCTCTGGACATGTGAGAGTGGATGTGTTTGTTTATCTCCAGTCCTCTCCGCGTCTCACTCTACGAGCACTGTCCTGCCTAAATCCTGCAATAAGCTGAGCCCCAGCCCTGTCCTTAGCTCTCAATACAACTCGAGGTGAATTCTCTGTTTTGACGGCTTAAACACAGGAAATGATGTTGAGTTGCTGACTCTAGACTCTGGTTACACCAGGCGGAGATGGGTCATTGAAAGTACTCGATGCTGCAGGCCAAAGCTGCACACCGGAATAGCAAATGTTCTCTGCTGAGCCTGGGAAAAGTGGCAACGATGGGGTCCCAAACGTGGAGCCGCTGAAACGTAGGCTCATGAAACATTAATGCTACGAACGAAAAGCTACCATTGGATTCCTCCAGATAAGACGTTAACTAAACTGAGGTCCCTCTGCCTGTTTTCTCAGGTGGATGTTAGTGATCCCGTGGTAGTACTGGGCAATCAATGGTCGTCCTTGCATTTGATGCACGCCTTTCATGTCAGGCCGTCTCAAAGGGCTTTATAGCATGTACTGTAAAGTGCAGTGACTGTGTATTTTGTAGGTAAACGCGGCAGTCAATTTGTGGCACAGCACTATCCCACAAACAGCCACAAATGACCAATTGTATTTGACAAGGGAGATATTTCTCCCGGTGTCATGGCCAACAAAGCCTCCAGAGAAACTGGCCGTCCACCTGAAGGCTGTCTGTGAGACCTCACTGCCATCACTGACTGTCACGTTTGCCTGTTAAAAAACAATCACCACACTTGGGAGTAATTGCTTGTGATGTGCTTTGAGACGTTTCAGCATAAGTTGCTATAAAAATCCAAGTTCTTTTGTTCTCGTGGTGAGTAGATACAAGCCTGACTGCACAACTAGTGTGGAAATAAAGGTTTCAAAATATCAGGCATTCCCTTTGCCTTTGAATATCTTGTCTGGCGCATCTGTTTCAAAGGGGATCAAAACCAAGGATGTCTTATATAGTGTGAGATTGTAAATGTGGTCAGTACCATTATGAGGAGTGATTTTTATGGGTCCAAGCAAGTAGTTGCAATGAAGGGGTATATTGAGCCACCTATCTTGTCCAATCTGCTTGCAACCCCAGGACCACCCAACTCAAGTCAAGACTAGGAGAAACTGGATTGTTTTTATACCCACACAAAACCAGCGAGGTTAGCGATTTGTTTGCACTCAGCAAGAAGTGAATGAGCTGGTGATTCCGATCAATAAGTAATGAATAGAATCAGTAGTCAACGAATGCTATCGTTGCTTGGATTCGCAGTGAACGCGACTGGTAAATCCAATCGGATCCGTGCGATGCAATACAAAATGACATTTGCATCGCACCTTTCACGTCAGGAGGACGTCCCAAGGCGCTGGACAGTCCGGGATTTGGACCCGAGCTGGCGGTGGGTAGTGACACGGGATTGTCAGTAGGATGTGGGATCAATAGGAAGTCAATGTGCAGCACATTTCATAGGGATGGTAGATGTGGCTGGTTGTATAGATGAGCTCGGTCCATTCTGCACTCTTAAGTGATGCAGAGGGGCCTAGAGTGCTGGTGACTGCTTTTGCTCACACGGCGCAGCTTTGATATTGGCTGGCAGCTGGTGCACATGCTCAGTCAGATGTACACTCGGCTGTGGCTGACAAGGACAGATTGAGAGGCTTTGACCTACAAATGTAACCAAATGGCCATATTTCTTCATTTAACATAATTAATACCTTAGGATTTACACAGGCTTGGAAAAACAGACGTTTCTCTGTAGACTACAATAATAATTACAGCAGGAATCCGTAGTTAAATCTTTCGTAGAATGCAAAGAATGACAGGTCTTGTCAAAAAAAATTAACATGTAAAATTAGCTCTTTGTCCCTGGAGTAGTGTGTGAAACAGCAGGGAGTTTAGCACTATTATTTTGTGTGAAAAAAAATGGGGTGTTTCTTTCATTTTGAACTTGTGTGTGTGTGTGTCTTCCTCTTTGACAGTCACTCTGGTGCCTTTGACATGATTGTATACAGACCGGGATGAAAAGAGTTTTATTGTGCCATTTTCTTAATTGTTACAGACTAATGTAATTGTGTTCAGTGAAGAGGAATTTTCAGCTACACGAGCGCAAAGCCAGGCTAGTTATAAGATCAGGAGATAATTCTGTTGCACATTGCAGGGTCATTATTGCCTCATTCAGGAGAATTCTGTCTTTTCTTATCGCACTGAGAAATAAATTAGTGGCAGTGGATGGTGTCAGCACATTGTTGATGTCTTGTGTTTGGAAACCACTTAGCATCTTGCAGGCTACTTTACTTTTATGACCCAGGCTATTGCACATTGAAGTGTCTTCAGACTTTCTTTACATCACTTTGCAGAGTGTACAGCGAGGCCAGTCCTTGTCTCTAGTGAACCCAACGCAGACTGTGCCAGAACTCGGCTGGAAACCAATGTAGAGCTGCCTCCAAACAGCATGCAGTCGCATAGCTCAGTGTTTCCAAGATCACTGCTCACTTTGGGTCTGAAAGGCTGGGTTGCTTTCAAGTGACACCAAATTCAGATTGAATCAAATTCATGATGTGAAAGAGTATGGATTTCGCACCCCCCCCCCCCCACCCACCGCCCATCCCATTAAAACTGGGAGGACGAGATTTGAGCTCCAATACTGTAGATTAAAACCGTGTTGAAGAAAAGGGTGATCAGGACTAGTGGGACGTTCCTTCAATCTGAAATGCTTCCCATGAATCACTGTGTTTTAAAATGGTTATTAAAGATTGGAATCCCAGCCAGTTCTGAACTTAACATTTGCATTTCAGTGCCAGGATCGGTATCCAGTAGCGGGAAGGAATTTGATCCCAGCTCAGACAAATGGCAGCCCGCCAGAGACGAGCCTGTAGAGTACTTCATCCAAGCAGGTATTTTTTTTAGATCAGCGTATTATCGTAGCCGAAGGCCAAGGAAGACCAACTCAGTGTTCAAAAGGAAACGTTGAGACTGCAGAGGCAGGGCTGCTCGCTCACAAGGTCTCCTCCCCCTAACGTCACCTCGGGATATCTCCTCGGGTACAAGATCTCTTCTCCCCCCCCCCCTTCCTCCTGAAGATGATGATTTACGCTGCGGCTGTGTTGGAGTAAGCTTCCCCTAGTCATTTTCTTGATTTGAGACTCACCAGTGAGTTCACTTTAAGACGTTCTTCATATCAGTCTATACGGGGTGTACAGCAAGGGCAGTCCTTGTCTCCATTGAACCCAACCCAGACGGGGCTAGAACTAGGCTGGAAAGCAACTGGCTCCGAACAGAGTGTTTCTGTGCCCAGCCTGACCTTGTTTTCGTCTGATGTTCACACTCTTCAGCAGGAGCCATTACTTAGCAATCAGGAGGATGAACCCTGGCCAATTCTTCCCTAGATACTGAAGCCAATTATAAATCGTTACCAGCACCCTGCCTCTGAGGTCAGTTAACTCATTCACAGACAGCGATCCCAACTCCTTTGTAACTTCCTGGTTTGTGATAGTCCCACACTGGGCAAGCTCAGCTCCTGGAGATGCGAGTACTTTTAGGGCACTCCCTCTACCATCTCCTCATGTTATTGATCCAATTGAAGACGAGGTTTGACAGGTCGACACTGGATTATGTGCCACTTGAGGACTGCAGGGATAGTTCAGTTTGTGTGAAGAAAGATATTGAACCCAGAGTTGTCTAAGGGTCTCTGGCTGGGTCTAAATGAAGTGTTTCAATCTGAGTAGCAGCAGACATTGAGCTTAAGCACTAAACAGAATAAGTCCTTTAAACCTTGCTGTGTTTAATGGCGTTTTTAAGCCTTTTTTTAAGATCACCATGCACAGACCAACGCTACTCCACGTTATTACCTCAATGTAGTTCCATCCATCCCCTGTGGTGTCTGTCCCAAGTCTCTGTCGCCCAGCTTTTGTCTTGCCAAATATTGAGTTGGTCTCCGTGTATTAATCCCACAATAATGCACAGATAAAAGGCTGACCTTATTGTTGTTGATATATTGCTTAAGTGCTGTAATTATCCTCGAAGGGTTAATCCTCCGCGAATGGCGTTCCACATGATGTGGGGTTGGTTGGGAGGTGCGCTTCAGGCCTAGTAACTGATTAGAAAACATATGTGCCATGCTTGAGAGATCAAGGAGTGAGGTTGATGAATGTCATAGCAAAGGTTGGCAGCTCGGGGAAAGGAACGCATCGCGTCCTGGGCTCTAACTCAGTGATCAAGGTCGCTTTCAGTTCATTAACTTTTTACTGAGCCTCGCGCTCGGTGCGAGCCGGGTTACATTTTCAGGTCTATCGGGGCAATCGGGTTGCGTTCCCACACACGTTAGCTGGCGCTCGGCTCCGTTTGAATGCGCTGTGGGCAGCACTCACCTTTTTTAACCCTTTGCCTTTGATTCCACTTGAATACCGCTGTTCTCGTTTTTTTGTGAAGTCAGACTACTTAAAGAGGCCAGATATCACTAGTGCTGGTGGAGACTTTATACCGTTCTCACAGTTGACCAGTGCGTGAGATTGTTAGGTCCTGTGGAGTAATGCTGGGTTTCCTACCAGCCTGACTGAGAGGAACACTGGAGAAGTGCAGATCGGAGGGGAATAGTTATCGAATCGTGTACCTTCTAGATCATTTATGTGAACCAGATTTCAATCTTAAGGCTCGGGATGATAATTTAACGTTGCTGAGCATTAATATTAAACATGCTATAAGTGCACGGTTAGTAATATCAGAAAATCGTGTTCACATATTTGTTCTACACTTCGAAGAGTTTGAAATGTTTGTACAAATATTTCCTTGTCGCCTTTCAACACTTGCACACACAACAACTGGATATTTATGATTCCAGAGCAGAACTGAATTGTGCATTACTAAACCCGGGCTTTGAAAGCGTTAATTGAGATGCATAAGGCTTGTGTCATTACTTATTGTGTGAATGTGTGTGTGTGTGTGTGATTTGTCATTCCCTGGTATCTGGTGACCTGTCAGTTTGGATGCTGACTCTAGTTAAAGGAACGCACGGAAGATTTGAAGGGATATGAACAGGTGGTCTGTGAGGGGGCGAGAGGATGTGAACGAGGGCCCTTTGGTTGGATGTGATCGTGGTCAGATATTCTCAGGCTAAAAGGTAACATTTGTTTGCTGCATTACCAAGCACTGGAGGTCAACTGTTTTGGCTCCGTGCGTAGGAAGCTCACTGATGTTGCATGCAAGATATAAACCAGTACACGGCTTCCTGTGGTACCATAGATCATTGCACAGGACGTCTTGCATGGTTAGGACATAAAACTCCGTGCAGTAACCCAGCAATGCTGAGTGTCCAATACGTGGACAATAGGCATACTTTATCCCCAGATGTTTCTGCTGGTCATCGCCTCAAAGACTTTCAGATTCTGGACATTGTTTGCATTTCCACAGTCCCTGAAGCTGATATTTCATGTCAATGAATGAAATCCCCCGGCGATATTTTTGGCCTGTGGGGAAATCTCGCATTCATCTCCATGAGTGAGGCTGGATAGACGAGTGAATAACTTCAAGTCAGCCTCACAACAGGAGATGTATGTCGTATCTCAGCGCTGGCCATGATGTATTGTACTTAAGCATTTGTAATAGCCGTTGAACTTCAAAACTTTTTAGTTAAAGGAGAATCGCCCGGCATTATGGAGGGATGTTGACTGCCAACAAATTCATTCTGAATCGTCTGGCCCAAACGAGAGCTTTTACTCAGTGGAAAGGGCAGACCTCTCGGTTGCTAACAGGGATGAGTTTACTCAGCAAGAGCCTGCATTAACAAAACAGCAGTCAGCATCCTGCTCATTCCAATATAGACCAACTTGCGTTTATACAAAAGTGCTTCACGTGTTCCAGCGTTTCGGAGTGCTTAGTGACGTCTGAGAACATTGGCTCGGTGTTTTGTCTCACAACGATGACTCCGCACTATAACTCGAAGAGAGACCTTTGTATGTCACTGATTCTGAGCCGGCAGTGCTGTTCAGTGACCATCATCACCAATGTGATCCCACTACCAGTTATGTCTTTGGCGTTACTATTTATTGTCCTTCGTTGGATCCAGGAAATAACAGTAATGTCGAGATAGAGCAGGGAGCTCAGATTGAAGCGGTTAGCTCAGTGGAGCAGCGAGTACTAATGTAGGCTCCTTCTGTAGGTTTCTATGATGGATTCTTGATTAATTGTTTGAAGGAAAAATGTAAAATTCCACATAAAAATACAATTCATCACAACGTACCCAGACAAGAGACATGACCGATTGCCCCCACGTGCTCCCTTACTGATCTTACCGACGCCACGAGCCTGCGATGGTCAGGTGATGTTCGCCCTTAGGGACCAGGGAAAAGGAAGCATCTCATTGAGGGGTCTCTTGAGTGGCCAGTTACAGAGCGTCACACAGCCTGAGCCACTTTGAGAAGAGAAGCAAATGTCAGAGCTGAAAAAAAGAAAGCAAAATCCCTTCTCTCCCACCTCCCCCACCCCCATCCCCACCGCAGAAACAATCCAGAACTGCAGCTAACTAACTCGTGCAGAGGCGAGTATCTGCCGTTTGTCTGTTCAACTAAACTTAGAAAAGATAACAGACTCTGGAGAGCCGTTAAAAAATGGACCATTCTGTTAAGCTTGCACATTCTTCGCTGCGTAAAGAGAAGGAAGCGAAAATGATTTGACTGGAATGGTGAGAAAAACATGTGAGATGGTCGCTGTAACTCCCTAGGGCCGAGGGAGGAAGCCTGCACCATCTCACTGCTCAGACGAGATGGGCTTTTGGCATCACTTGTCCTAATTGAAAATGTGCATGTTTTCTGATCTTCCTCTTTCTCACTTGTTCTTCTTCATTCTCTATTGTCTTGTGTTCTTTTCTTAATCCCCTTTTTCCAGAGCAGATAATCCATGGCTCCAAGAATCAGCGCTAATCTCTTTAATGTTTGATCTACCCCACACACCCCCACCCCCCCCCCCACCCCCCCCCACACTCCCACCCCCACCCCTGTAGCTTCTGTTTGTTTTTCCATGTTTTATGAATATTATAACATTTCAGAACTGTGTGAGTTCAAGAATTGGAAGCAGTTGAATTTGAACTAAATGAATGCATAATTCTCTAAACAATAGACAGTTCAGGGAGAAGTTCACAACAAGCAGAACTTACAGACATTCTGAGAGCACACAAAGTGACTCGAAAGGAGGGATGCCAAGGTGTGGCTTTTGAAGCCTGTGTGATTATATGCCTGTGAACCAAATCTATCCTATAGTAAACCCTTGTGGAGCACCCATATAGTAAATCACTTTGTACACTGTTGAAAATAGCAAACAGGAATCTAAATACCGTCTGAGAGATGGACACAATTTCGTCAGCATTCAGAGTCTACATGATGCGACTCAAGAAAGAGTCACGTCATTCTAACTCAGCATTGACCTGGCTCAGGCGGATGTCCTTTGCGTGATCCTTTTGGAACTGTGTGCGTATTGGGAGGCAACGGAAATTGATCGACTGCATGAAATTCCATAAATTGGGAGGCAATGGGGAGTGGTAAGGTCCACTGGAACTCCACGCTGGAATCAGGCACATATTGTCTCAGAGCATTTTATTACAAGTCTCAGATGTTTGTCACACGGATAGTAGCACTTCCTGCTTTATCCCAGACTGCTTACAAAGGACTTTTTCCTTCATCCCATCCTGCATATAACTATGTTATTTAATGCAGATTAATCGACTGATTTATATTAAAGAAAACAAGCCTAAGTCTGTTTTGAGCTTGGAAGAGCCAGACATATTTATAGATATAATTCTGCGTATTGTAGCGTAGTTAAAATTGAATGAGTTTTTAAAAAAAATTAAATCACACTCTACTGGGTACCAGAAAATACAAACAAAGCTCTTGGCACAACCTCAGGG